ATAATAGGATATTGGCTATGTAATAGTATACATGTGGTTATATGTTATGAAAATGGAAAATAAAAAAAGTATATAAAAAAAACATTATGCATGAATTCAGCAAAGCTTTCGTGGGGGTCTGTCAGCCCTCTCGAAATAAGGAACGTTTCACGGCCTTTTATCAGACCAAGGAATAGATGGGGAGGGGGGGAAGAAGGGAGAGTTAGAAACAGCCAGTGTTGAAGTTGTAGCTTTGTTCTTAAGATGAAAAGTGGGAAGGGGTCGTTCACACGGAGGGAAACAGCCAGATACGTAATGGGGACAGCAAGCAGGATGCCCTGTGGAATTCCTGGGATGGACAGAGCAACCAGCAGGGCTCTTGAAGGACAAAATGCAGCTGGGAGCAAACATCGATCATTGCAAGGCAATGGCCAGTTTGGACGAGAGAGGGAAGAAGACGGGGGAATAGATCTCTCAGCGGCTGAGCCTGCCTGCATGCAAAGGTAGCTTCATTTAGTGGGGAACAGAAGCAGAGAAAGTAATATTACATGTTTCGACAGCAGCAGGAATTACATTTGCACAACAAAAGAAAAACGAAGAAACAACCACAGAAGAAGAAATAATTTGAAAAAAAAATTAGACTGCAGAAATGGATAGGCTAACACTGAAGATGAAAGGAAAGGAAGACACAGAATATTTTTGAACTTGGGACTCGTTCGACCAATGGTTGGATAACAGAGGTAGAAACCAGGAGTGTAATATTGTTATGTAAACAAACTGACTCAGACAGTATGCTATTCAATAAGCACTTATGGTATACAAAGAGAAAAAAAATATAAATATATAATTAAAAAGGAAGCAGGGAAAATACCGCGTTCCGCAGGGTCCTTAAAGTGGTGGACAAGGGCTGGACCTCTCGCTTCCTATCAAGGCCTACTGAGAGTGACCGCAGAGAAAGGAAGAGAACCAGGACAACGCAGAGTCCCCCACTTCTCATCCCCAAAACTGCCCCAGAAGGTCACCATGGCTGATGGTATTGAAAGCCCCCAGGAGGTCAAGTAGAGGGAGGAGGGACACACTACCCCCATCCCACTCCCTCCAGAGACCATCAGAAGGTGGCCCTCATGCTGTCTCCATCCCATATGCAGGTCTGAACCCAGAATGGAAGAAGTCTAGATAATCCATAGATCTTCAGGAGCCTCTGGAGCTGCAGCACCTTCTCAACAGCCTTCACCCGAAATGGAGGATTAAAATTGTCTTAAGAATCCACCGATGGCCTCTTAAGAAGAGGGCAGAGCACAGCCTCCTTAAAAGGCCTGGGCAATTGACCCTCCCACAGGGAAGCCCCAACCACTCCAGAACCCACCCACATGATGTCACCTTCTGGGAGGCCAGGAGGGAGATGGTTCTAAAACACCAGTGTTTGTGCTCATACTCCCCAGGATCCTCACCTGGGGTGACACACTGGCGCTCACATTCAGACAGCTCCTTGAAATTGTTAGCATTCCCATAGCAGCCTCCGTAGAAGAGACGTTGGCATCTCTTGGACATTGAATTGTAGAACCAGCGAGGACCACACAACCATCAAACCACACAACCATCAA